TTAATACTATTCAGATATTGTACAACACTCTTAGCGGGGTACACGAATTCGCTCTAAAAATATATGTATGTGTAAAAAAAAAATAATTATAACCAAAATAGATGTTAGTTATTGACAAACCGCATTAAATTCGATGCCAATCTCTTTGAAACGTTGTGCATATTCACTCAACGTCCGCACGCCATTGTTCGTTACGAAGCTGAATTTTTTACCGGCGTTCGAGAGTGCTTTGAACCCTTCCGCAGCACGTGGAATGTATTCATCACGCGCCCAAACTACGCCTGTGGAAGAGAGGGGTCGGCTATGTGTAGACTTTCGTATAAATTACACTAGTTAACAGCCAAAAATATATGTATATTTTGTAAAATTTGTGACTTATCTCGAAAATATGCACAATTTTTCTGAAATAATAGCAGTATGCTTTCTGCTAAACTATGTAGAGTGGTGACTCGAACAAATAACTGGTATAAGTGGCATAAACTGGTCTAATAAGTTGAAATAACGGGTAATTATAGTTCTTTTAACGGGCTACGTGGGTTTCACGGCTTCACAAAAATTTATTTAATTCTATAACATCTCTAGAATATTCTCTTAAATTCTTAAGTCAATCTGAGTAATCGTTTTGGAGATACCCTTAAAAAGTTGCGGGCTCGAGATCAGATATATGGTGTACTTGCACTTAAAACTTTAATCTTATTAGTAAACCCACTTACCATCTACATCGGAGAATATGCGATCAAACGAATCCAAGAATTCACGTCTTTCCTTTGCGTTTAATTTCAGAATATGTTTTGTGGTTTTTCGTGTTATTTCTTCTTTCTAAAAACAAAAAAAAATATTAATTTAAATATTTCTTAGTTCAAAATACAATTTTGATTTGAAATTTTTTATATTGTTATTTGTAAGAACAACAATGTGTAACTTTAGTGACTTCTTTTCTTTTGCACCCACACATATTGTTTATTATTATTGTTTTTTTGTGTACGCTGTATAACGGCTACTCACTAATTATAAATACAAAGTTTTAATAGGATAAACCGCACTCATAATATTTTTTCATTGTACCAACCGAAAACCTCCACACAACACAATAAACAATAAAATTTGTCTCAAAACAAATAATCTAAAGAAATATGTTTTTGTTAATGTGTGTAGTTATAAATATTACCAGACACCTTCGGCATTTATTTACTTGAAAGATGGAGAAAATCATGAGATAAACATGCGCTTTTCTTTAATTTTGCACTAAATATTGAGATTTTTTTTTATAAAAACACACATTTGTATGTGTATAAATAAATCAAAATATTAATAATAATAATAAAACACTGACGACCTATGTATATATGCGTGTATGTAGGTACAATTTTATAGGTTTCACTATAAACGAGCGATAATATTTATATAAGTGTATATAACAGCTTTAATTAATAAATTTTTGTGGAATTTAATTTATGGTATTTGCCACATGTTGCACATAGCTTTTACAACCACCATCAACAAAATTGTCACATACTGCCGCCATTTAAAAAAAAAAATAGAAAATATATTTACATTAGACATTTTGTATTTGTTGTAAATACAGTAAGTGCCTGGTTTGGATTAAATTAAAATTTTCAACTCCTTTTCTTCGATTTCGGTGCGCTTTTGTTCTATTCACCGCTATTTTATCAACTGCACTAAAGTCGCAAAATTAAAATGCTTATTTACAAAGTCAAACAGGCACTTACATTTGATTAAAACATATTTACATCTAATGATTTACACATATTTACATTTATATGTAGATACATAGGTATCTTTATTATTTTGTTGTTAGGTATTTCAAACTAGTGTATCTTATTACAAACGTAATGATATCCATTTACTACAATATATAAAATATACTATTTGTGTATATATGCATGTGGTTAAAACAAATTACTAGTAGGAAAAGAAAGTGTTGCCAATTTTTTATTTTTATTTCTATTGTTTTTGATTGAGCACTACTAATTTTTATAATACCGCTTTTATAATAAGCTTTAAACAAATACCAAATATGTATATGTATTCTGTATGTTCTATTGAATATTAGTAATACGCACATGTGTATTTTCAAATTTAAGTATTATTAAAAAAAAACCTAGTAAAAAATGTGTATCATCACCCTTGAGTATTATAATTAAGCTAAGTGATATTTATTTTCTGCAAGCACATACACATTTATCAATAAATTTATATTGAGGCTTTGACGAATGCAGACGCGCAAAAACGCCTTTCACGTTTTAATAGAAATTGATATTATTCACCTCATTAAGTAAAAGTATTAATAACATATGTCAGTTGGGAAACATTTGCTTGTAACTTACGCTCTCAACTCATGCGTAAAAAAACATAAAAACGTAAAGTACTTTTCACATATGCATATACTTAAGATATATGTCATACGAGTGTATGCATGTATGTGTGCAAGCATGAATATGCATTTTAAATACAGTTTAAAAGCCCTTTATCTGAAAATACTATATTAATAATGTAAATATTTGCGTTCTGTTGTATTTAAATGTATGCTTAGTGAGGAGTTTAAAGACTGCAAGTCACTTTGCATATTCGATTAGTTGGCTTTTACTGCTTGCACTTATTTTTGTGCTTCTTAATACATGAGTTTTTACCGCAAAACTGGAAAAAAATTTAAATTCAATGTATGCATTGTTTTACATTAAAATAAATTTAGAAATACATGCGGAAGTAGGTTCAACTTACATTGTTGAAGTAATCGGCATTGCTTAAGGCTCATTTTTTCAATTTTGTTATTATGTATAGTTTTGCTTAAAACTATATTAGCGAATATTTATTGAAATTTCAACACCTTAAGCTGAAGTCCGATAATTTTTTACTGCTACAAAAAAAACCAAAACTTACGTCATAAGTTTACATAATACACTTAATTTTATCGCTTTATGAGCACAACACACATTTATATTTAAGTAAGCTCAATATTAAATTTACAACCGAATTGCCACATTTATTTACATATTTATATTATTTATCGGTAAATGTTAGCTTAAACATGTCACAATCGCTTTATTCTCAAACTCACAGCATTACATATGAAATTGGGAAAAACTCTACTGAACTCTATTGAAATAAATTATATATGCGAATTTTTCTCTCTGCTTATAATAAAAGTAGTCTTTTTACATTTCAACAAAAATTTAACAATTAAAATACCACCATCACCAAGTTTTACAAAACACACACACTAAATTTTGTATGTTATATTATATATAAATTTTAACGCTTTTAAAATTCAAATTTTAAAATTGAAATCATGTCGGAAATAGAAAGATTCAAGCAGCTGATTCGGGGTGCATTCACAATAGTAAGAGTTAACCGAAAACT